TCTTAAAAATAAAAATATTTTATGCATAACTTTATATAATATTTAAGCAAAATATTATTTCATAAATTAATTATTCTTAAGAATTCATACACAAATCATTCTATTATTAGTACAGAGAATCTTGGAAAAATGTACACTTTATATTTAAAAAAAGGAAAGGAAAGACAATGAATACCAATCACTAATCCTGCTAATATGTAGTGAGCAAATTTGAAAATCGTTTTGCAGGACTTGATGAAAAAAATTAAAATATATATTTCTGGGAGATATTCTTAAAATGTCTACATAAAAATATAGCATTTCAATTCACAAATTATATTTAAGTGTATAGTAATTAATAATTTGCATAAATAACTATAAAATTTTTAGGAATACATGAATATCGTAAATAATTATAATAAAAAAATATGTACATTTTAATAAAATATTTAAATATATATAGCACATGAGTATACTGATATATTAATTAATGTAAAATGTAATATGCAAAAACTGAACGTATATCATTATATAAAAAAACGGTGTAACTGTAATTACGTCTTATGTTAAACATATACGGAAAATAGGAAATATGATGTATTCTATATTTTATCCTTATACATATTGTACTATACTGGAATACTTTAATTACATGTTATTCCATTACTAATAATATGTAAGAGTGATAAAAAAGTAATAAGAAATAAATTATAATTACACATGGAATCTAACAATCGTAAACAATGAATAAAATGAGATACATATACACTATTTTTTCATTAGGAGAAAATGATATACATTGATATTTTTATTAATTTAAATAAAAACGTGATAAAGACAAAAAAAAACTAGAAAAAAACCATTATTTAAAGAAAAGAGACAATTTATAAACAACTTCGATTATAAAGCTAAATTGTGCACATATTTTATAATTATATTTATTATTAAAATTTTTTTATTTATACTTATAAATAATTAATATATATTATTTTTAATTATATAATATATTTTCCTTTAACATAATAAATTCATTTATTAACTGTATTATTATTGTGTTTGTATAATAATGTAAATTTTGCATCACATTTCTTATGTTAAAGTTGATAATTTTATTTTTATTCCAAAACATTATAATCGTATACAATAGATTAATATCATAGCTTTTCTTTTATTAAAGCACACCTTATATATATGTTACATAGTCTGTGTTAAAATATGTTATAATTATCTTTATGTTAAACTCATAACAAATTTCTAATTTAATTCATCATTTTCATATAATATGCATTAAGAAGCCAGTTGTAATATATAATATACACATAATTCAAAAACCTACCATTTATTAGTTACATAATCATATATGCACAAAACATGAAAAGGTTTTTATTTATTTTTCTTCATTAATTTTTTCCAAACATAAGTTAAAAGCATATATTAATTATTAGTATTATTATATATATTAAATAATAATAAGTATTTATAAAATCCTTTTATATATATTTAATATAATTTATATTTTGTAACAATAAATCTGCATTATGAAATCTATTATGTAACTACTAATGTATATTCGTCTTCAAATTTTAATGATAATATATCTAAATACACATTATATGTTACCTAAGTTGAGAACATTTTAAAAAAAATTTAAATATTTTTAATATTATAGTACACATAAGCGATTGTTTTATGGTGTTATATATATTTATATTGTGCTTTAATAGAAGTATTACTACCAAACACTTCTTGTTGAATGCATGTAAATAAGTGAGGTATTCATTTAAATATTTTAAATAATGTTGATCAAATTAGGAAATTATATTATATACAACTAATTATATTATTTATAATCATAATAACGCATAAAAATAATAAAAGAACAAAAAAGGCATGCATAAAAAAGAGAATAAGAATTAATTAATCATAAAACACCAAATGTAATTTGATATATACATAAAAGGTTTCGAGAAAATTAAAGTATTCATTTAAATTGAACATCTATACTCATTAAATTAGCTCAATTTATGATTCTCTATTCAAAATATGTTTTCTAAGATTTCTATTACACATTATTTATGCTGTACCATCTTTAGATACCGTTAAATATTTTAACCAATATATATTTATATTCTAAATATTATCTTTTCAATTAAATCAATTAAGCCATACACTCCTATTATATAATTGCAGTAACTCATTATTTCATTGCTGAAGCATTAAAAAGTTATATGAACCTACCTAAATGATGCCTTTATCATTACAAAATTTATAACACCAGTAATTTTTTTTTTATTACATGAGATTGTAAACATTGTTTTCTTTAATAATTAATAGTAAATTTATTATATATTCTGGATTCTTAAATTATGATACTATTTAAAAATATATATCTCAATATATATAACAGTTAATATAACGAAATTTTACATGGTACTTCACATTTATGAAACATTTATATAAATAAGTATTCACTTTATAATGTGTAGTGACTATAACTAAATTAAATAATATCTAAATTTTATTTTATTTCCAATTTGGTTTCATATTACGTACTGTTCAGATAACTCTCCTATAACCTATGTTTATATAACCCCCTTAAATAATTGCGTTCATTGGGTAATTATAAAAAAATTTTTCTACATGAAAATTTGTCGCATAGTGCTATTTCTTTATTAATACATGAATTCCCATTATTAGTCATATGATCATAATGTATCTTCTAATATCCCTTTTTGAATTTTATATAATATTTTTTTTTATCCCTATTCCATGTAACTCAATACAGATATATTAGACTAATATATAATAATATAGGAATGTAATATTTTTATAAAGATAAAAATCACATAAATAAATTATAAATACTAAATAAAAAACACTTGCATATTAAATTATAATTTATATTTACAAGACAGAAAGGGTGAGATGATATAACTGCTCCCAGTATACATGCAACATGGACAAAAATAATATGAATTTAATGCTTCATAAGATGTTTCTATAATAATGAAGAAAGCATTAATTTGTGTAGAGAAGAATCTTAATAAGTTTCAAAAAAAGGAAGATAGAATACTAATTTTATTTTGCACAGTTGAAACTTCTTTATATTCTACGATTCACAATCCTTTAACATTTTTTCTTTCACCTATATTTAGTCTTTCAAATGAGGAAATAAATATGTTGTGTAAAATATTTTGTTCATATGATTTACTACTCGTGAAAAGATGTTCTTAATGGGATTAAATATTTTAATAATAAGAACGAGATCTATTCCCGTCATAAGACTTCGGCTAAATAGTTTTAATATTGCTAACATAATTTAAATACTTTTCACAAATGTTTATCACAATTATTCCTCTTTAATATATTTATAATTTTCAAAACTATAAAGTAAATCTTTTTCATTTTTTAATTCGACCAGCTTGTATGGTACATAATGTTTACAAGAAACAAAATCGAATATTCCATAATTAACATAACTACTCATTCAAAAACTTTATCACTAAAACATCTAATTTTTAGTTATTTGTGCGTTTTATTGATTTCCCTATTTGTTCAAAGAAACAGCATGTAATCTTTAACATACATTTTTTCACTTATTGTCTATTTTTAAATTTAACAACTGTGAAAATTTTGCAGTTCTTCTACAATAGTTTTTGCTGTCGTCTTTAATTTTTTCTAAATTATTACATTTTTTTGTATTATATTTCATAATTTTAACTTTATTAAATTCTTTTTATTTTTATTATGTAGATATATTGGGGAATTTTTCATTTTTTTAATTTGCCATAATTTAAAAATAGTATTATATAAATACTGGAAACCATAAAGAATAAAGTCTTCCACTCTTTTTAAAATTATGGAAAACATTCACACAATTGTCTGCTTATATATTAAAAACATAAATACACAGAATTCATTTTATTTAAAGTTGACATCTTATTTTAATATATACTAACTGCGTCAAATAGAGATTTTAGTGTGTTGGATAATAGTGTATAATAACTTATGACCCACTGATATATTATGTATCCATATAAATTAACCATAAAACGCAAATAATTGTTTATAAGTAGAAGTTTTATTTTAATTAACAAAAACTCTTTCACTGTAGTGTTAATAATATATGTTCTTTCAGATATCATCTATAAGAAAATCATATTATAATTATTACTAATACACTTAAATAAGATAAAATATATCTTTATTCTGCACGTAAAACTATAAATCTTTTTGTTATTTTATTATTGTATTTTCATTATTTATTCACGTCGATTATTTATTTTTACATTTTTAATAACACACAGATTAAAAATTTATAATATCAATAAGGTAAAAAAAAGGGAAATATATTTATAAATATAATATTCGATAATTTAATCTTATTTCATGTATAAAAAATGTTATCAACCATATGTGTCTGTTATTTTATATCGTTATATTTTTATAATAAGACGTTGAATTTAGATATACCAGAAATTTGTCATACCAGAAAAAAATGTTTTCTCATTACTTTGATTTTGAACATGTAAAAAATGAACTTCTATTGTTAATTATATCCTTATACACATAAAATAAGCATTTTTGATTAATCGTTTGAAGAAAAATTATATTTTGTTTGTTTAAAAAGTTTAAAAAAATGATTATAAATGATTTTTATTTTTTCTTAAAAAAATATAGCTCTAAATCAAAATAATAAAAAGATTTATATATGTTACGCATATAAAAGTTATTTAGATTTCCCCATTTATATACACGCATCTTGAAACTTAATTTTTCCAAATATTTCATTAAATTTTTTTTTAATGGTCATAAAAACGATAAATATATTTTATTTAAAAAAATATAAAATCCTTTAAGATATTTTATTAATATGATGCATAAATTGATAATGTGGAATTATTGCGTTTGTTATACGATAATAAAACAACTATACAACTCTTATACGTTTTAGCATCATGAATGTGTAACTTAACATATAATTCAAGAAACTTGTTTTAAAAAAATTATGGGCATAATGAATGCTTACATTAAGTGGTATACCTTATTCATTAAATAAATATGCACAAATAGGATCATTTGTTATAACATTTGAATTGTTTTCTTTACATGCACTATATAAAACATATTTGTGTTATTCATATAAACATAAAAATCTATCCTCGCTCTGTAAGTACAATATGTTATCCAACTGTTTCTTGACATATATGTTATTGTGCATTCAATTATCCTTTTATAGTAATTGTGCCGCGACAACACTTAATTCTTTTTCATCATCCCCGAATGACATATCTGTTATGATAATACTGATAAAAGATTGGAATGTTAAATATAAATTCATTATAATTGTTGAAAATGTGAAGGTGAATTCATATATTACAGAAAGAAGTTACTTTATAAGCATATCTTTCACTTAACGCATTAGGATTATTTCATGTGATCAAATTTTGTGAATGGAAGAAATTTTTTCCAAATTGTTCGAGAAAAATGTATTATAATAATTAATATATTTGAAAAAATTGAGCAGAATTTATAATATTGTTTTTTGTATTGTGAGTTATGCGAAAATAATTTTAGTCAAGACCTTCAAACTTTTAATTACATTACAAAGACAATGAAGCATCACTATGCATCATCTTATAGGGGACTAATCAAACGTAATTATAGTAAAATAGCTTATTTAAAATGTGCATTACATTGAAAATGATAATTTATCCACATTAAATTAAAATGAGTGTGAAAGTATTAAAGAATTTGCGTAAAAAGACAATAGCATCTTAAACTAAATAAATACATATTTTTAATAGTTATAATATAAAAAATACTTAAACAGATATTTATAAAACTTTTTAATTGATTTTTGGCATTAAGGATTCACAGAAGATTACATAAATTTAAAAAAAACAGGTAATGAATAGAAAATACTGTATTTTCAGTTTCATATACACAAGGAATATATTTGACAAATAAATTAGTAAATTGTGAATAATATGTATATTCAACTGAAGACGAATCAGTACTAAATATTCCAGGAGTTATTATTTCTGAACGCACTTAACATATTGTATGTAAAGTAATAACGTTATTTTCAAAGATTTATTATATATATAGATCATATAATATAAAATCTAGAAACAAAGAGGAAACTTAATGGTGTTATTAATAGTATAACCAATAAAAGTGTACAAAAATTGCATTATTATAATAATATCTAATTTTACAAATATAAATACGAAGAGAACATTTTAAAGCATTTTATAACCGTATAATATGTCGTTATTTGTCAACATTTTATATTTTTATAGTCATGCTATATTATTACTTTATTCCAGTTAAAAAAAAGACAAATGAAATAGTATTAAATTGAAAGAATATAGAGTACCTTACAATGGAAATATTAAAAAACCATATTTCTATAATTAACAACAAAATTACACATTTAATTAATTTTAAATATATATTTTTAA